GGGAGGGGGAAGGATCTAAGCTGAAGGTGCAGATGTAAGGTTGATTGGCACTCAGAACTTGAGAGTGAGAGGTTTTGGCAAAGGGGGTACCAGTTTAACTTTAGGGGCATTTTTGTTTAATAAGTACTTTATCACCTTACCCTGCATCATCTACACAGGAAGAGCCGTCTTGTATTTTATAACATGATATCTAATGCATAGGTCTTTGATGTGAGCAGCTTCTCCCTTCTCTCATCCCTCATCCATGTGCATCATCTGCATCTGTAGAGCTGGCAATTTTAAGTATCACTGGTAATCTCCAGGGGCTCCTCGCAGAGGCATAGCTAGCCTTGCAAAAGACCCAAAACATGAACAAGACACTGATAGAAAAGGATGCTGGATCTAGGTTCCAGTGAGGAGGCCACAGATCATGGAATGTGCAAGAGTCATAATTGAGGGGAGCCCTGGTCATCAGTAGTGAAATCATATTGAGCAGCAAGAATAAAGGGAAAGGCCAGAAATGAAAGAGGAGAATGAGCTGAGAGGATTTTAATCATAATGGTAGCATGATTAGAGAAGAGTATGTTAGAAAGAACTGTTCAGACCAAAGAATTTAAACGGTGAAGCCATACTTGGACTCCTCATGAATGCAGTACCTAGTCTGTTGTGCAAAGTGTAATGGATCTCTGCATGACCAAAGAGGCGATGATTATCCATAGAAATTCACCAGGTCACTCTGCAGCTATGTCTATATGTTCAATAGTTATTCATAAGACGCATAATATATGCAAGACATTGTGCTGGGAACTGTGGGAAATTAATCATCAATCTAATAGGAATTCTGCCTTCCAAGTAGAAATTAGCAAAGTTTGTAAAAGAGATACACTCCAAGTAGTTTGAAATTTCCAGAAGAAATTTATTCTATATTCTAGGAAGATTTTACCTAAAGCAAACTCATCCCTAAAGAATGAAGAAGGCTGTCTTTCACTATTACTAAGGAAAATTCCAGTTATTATGATTGAGGGCATCAAGCTCATATCCATGCACAAGGAAGAGGAAAGGAAAGAATGGATAGGAGGTCAGAAAACAGTAGGGTAGAAATTAAAATCTCCATTAAAATCATCTAAGGAAGGAATGGGGGAAGCATTTACTCTGCACGCTTCCCAGCTGATTCACAGGAGAATCATGATCAGGTTTGGCCAAAGGAGGGGAAGGCAGAATAGGGGACTGGTGTGGGCTCTGCTATGACCCTTCCTGAGCATGGCCTGGAGTTAGAAGCTATGGATGAGAAGTCTTCACATTGGATAGAGTCCACACTATTGCTGTCCTTCTTGCTGCTAATGTCCCCCAGCTCCACAGAGCTTGCCCTGCTGTGGCTGCAAAACTGAATTGCTGGCAGGGGGCAGATTGCTTTCTACATAGAAGACCAGATATGATTCCTTTGCTGCTGTGGCAGCAACTCAGGGAGATGGCTCCATTGGAAAAGGTTCCACCCTAAATCCTTTAAGGCTAGCCAAGTGATTAATGTGCCAGCTTAAAGCCAAAAAAATTCCAAGCACTCTGCTCTAGAGAAGATTAAGTCAGTGGGAAATCCAAATAATGAGAGCCCTGAGGAAACATTCTGAAAATCAGAGGAAACTAAAAGCAAAACTTAGAACAACATCTCTTTTAAAGGAATAGGAAAAAAAAAAAAAAACACAGAGAGGTTTAATAAATTTATATGACCTTTTACCGGATTGAAAACATTCGAGGTGCTAAATAAATAGAAGAGGGAATGGTGCAAAGGAGGAGAAAAAATAGATGGTTCTTATGACTCTGCAGTGTTTGCCAACCCAAATTACAGTGCAGACCAGACTGGTAAACTAGCTGAATTTCTTTGGGGAGTCCCCAGA